ACACAGCTCCAACTATCACAGTCCACCCCTTGTCAACTTGGCAGTTGACACATCTTCTTAACCATATATAATCTCTAAATAAGGACAATTATAAAGTCATATTTGTGCCTAACATGATACACTAACACACATACAACCAAAATGCATTAACCTTATTTACATTTCACAGTTCATAACAGAAGGAAACAAAAATATTTGGTGCACATATACAATGAAGAAATATAACAATCACAGTCCTCATTTCTGCAGCTGGTCATGTGGTCATAGCTGATATTCAGAACTACCTTCTTCCACCACCCATTCTGTATTTCCCTTGCCCTCAGCAAGCACCTCAGCTGGTTGTGGTTCTTTTCCTGGTGGGGTGACCCAAACCTTTATTCCTGAAGGGTCTGGGCTGTTAGCAGTCATATCAGAATTGGATTGCTGTAATTTTCCATTGACTTTAATCACAGGGCTTGGTAGTACCAAGAGAGATCCTAAAGAATCTCCTGTATTCCAGACATATTCTTCTTTACCTCCATTATGTAAAGCCAACCCAATTTCCCCTTGATAATCAGGATCTATCACACTAGATAGTATAGTAATGCCCTTCTTTGTCTGTTGATCCAAAGGCATGAGGAAGCCAAAATGACCAGGTGCCATTCTTAATTTCCAGTTCAATGCAATCAGTATTGGGTCTCCAGGTAGGAGTGTTCCTCCCTTTGGTACTAAGATCTCCAGACCCACAGAGCATAGGGTAGCAGGGACAGGAAGCAAACATTTTTGAAGTGGATCACTAGGGGTAATAGTGAGTGGTACCACTCCTGTTCCCACCCCTTGGTTCCTGGACCCATGAATCCTGGCTATTGGAGAAACAGAACCCTATGTTGGATGCTGGCTTAGAGCATATACAGCCTTCTGGAGAACATTGCCCCAACCCTTCAAGGTATTGCCACCTATCTGGTGCTGTATTTGTGTTTTAAAGAGGCCATTCCATCATTCTATCAAACCAGCTGCTTCAGGATGATGGGGAACATGGTAAGACCAGTGAATTCCATGAGCATAAGCCCATTGCCGCACTTCATGTGTTGTGAAATGAGTCCCTTGATCTGAAGCAATGCTGTGTAGGATGCCATGACGGTGGATAAGGCATTCTGTAAATCCATGGATGGTTGTTTTAGCAGAAGCATTGCGTGCAGGGAAGGTGGATCCATATCCAGAATAAGTATCTATTCCAGTAAGAACAAAACACTGTCCTTTCCATGATGGAAGTGGTCCAATGTAATCAACCTGCCACCAGGTTACTGGCTGATCACCCTGAGGAATGGTTCCATATCGTGGACTCAGTGTTGGTCTCTGCTGTTGGAAGATTGAGCACTCAGCAGTGGCGGTAGCCAAATCAGCCTTGGTAAGCGGGAGTCCATGTTGCTGAGCCCAAGCTTAACCTCCTTCCCTGCCACCATGGTCACTTTGTTCATGAGCCCATTGAGTAATGACAGAAGTAGCTGAGGAAAAAGGACGGCTGGTTTCCACTGAACATGTCATCCTATCCATCTGATTGTTAAAGTCCTCCTCTGCCGAGGTCACTTTTTGGTGGGCATTCACATGAGACACAAATACATTTACTCCTTTGGCCCATTCAGAGAGATCTATCCACATACCTCTTCCCCATACATCCTTATCACCAATCTTTCAATCATGCTCCTTCCAAGTCTCAGACCATCAAGCTAAGCTGTTAGCCACAGCCCATGAATCCGTATATAATTGCACAGCTGGCCATTTCTTGTTCCATGCAAAGTGAACAGCCATATGCACAGCTCAAAGATCTGCCCATTGGGAGGATTTCCCTCCACCACTATCCTTTAAGGAAGTGCCAGAAAGGAGCTGCAGTGCCACTGCTGTCCACTTTCGAGTGGTGCCTGCATATCGCCCAGAACCATCTGTAAACCAGGCACGAGTTTTCTCTTCCTCAGTCAACTGATCATAAGGAACTCCCCATGAGGCCATGGGTGCAGTGTGGGACAGGGAAGGTAATGTGACTGGAGTGGAGACCATAAGCATTTGAGCCACTTCCTCATGCAACTTACTTGTGCCTTCAGGTCCTGCTTGGGCCCAATCTCTGATATACCACTTCCATTTAATGATGGAGTGCTGCCGTGCAAGTCCAACTTTATGACTCTGTGGGTCAGACAACACCCAGTTCATGATGGGTAGCTCAGGCCTCGTGGTGACTTGGTGACCCATGGTTAGGCATTCAGTCTCTACCAAAGCCCAGTAACAAGCCAAAAGCTTTCTCAAAAGGAGAGTAGTTATCTGCAGAGGATGGCAGGGCTTTGCTCCAAAACCCCAAGGGTCTGCATTGTGATTCACCAATAGGAACCTGCCAAAGGCTCCAAACAGCATCTCTATCTACTACAGACACTTCAAACACCATTGGATCAGCCG